TTGCTTGTAAAGTGGATTGGTAACACTGTCCAGCAAGGAAAACGTGACACTCTTAATTGTATGCCAAACTGAAGAAACTGTGTATTTCTTATGTCAAATTACTGTACTGTCATTTTCTTTTTTGTTATTCATTTATTTATTCATCAATTCATATATTTACCCATCCACTTATTTATTTACCCATTTATTGATCTATTCATTTACCTACCATTCTTTGTAAGCTCAACAATCTCAAGAACGTGTCATTCAAAATGATGGTAGGGTATATTTCTTTGCAATGTTTTACGCGAATATAATAACAGTACTTGGGTTAAAGTTACAAACTGCAGCCGGAAGTTGCACCGCTGACACAAGCATGAAGTAATCGGTACTAAAAGCACTGATTTTTCTTCTGCTTTAATAATTTTTGGCGGTATCGTGCACAAAACCGCCGCCACCATCACCATCATCTTCGCCATCATCATCATAATCATCACCATCACCATCTGTAAATGGCTGTGGAGACTGCCTTTAAAAAATGGCTAAACATCGTCGTTTAAACGGCTTGACTCTTCATTAAGGAAGAGTACTACATAGTGAAGGCAATGCACGAGACGAGTCTTGGGTAAGAGCTGAGCGTAGTGTCACGTGTGCGGCCAGCCAGCCCTGGAGGCGGGTGGTGACTTGGTCAGGTCGACTTCTGGGAGCGAACTAAGGGTCAGGCGAGCTCAGATATAATAATCTAAGTCCTCGCTGTCGTGATGGTTCTAAATTGCCTTAGAACCATGTGGCAAACAGCCCACGTGGGCTATTGGTCTAATGGCTTAGGCATGCTATACCATCACCATCATCACCACCATCATCCTCATCATCACCCCCACCACCATCATCATCATCATCACATCACCATCACCATAACCATCATCAACAACAATAACAAGAATAACATTAGCCAAAAGAAATATATAAAATAATTCTGAGAATAACACAACACTAACATTTACATCAACCAAGTGAACGAGAGAAGAGCAAACGCTTATCAAATACAAAGAAGCCATTCCAACGAACGTAAGGACGTGGATGAATATGAGTAAGGAAGCTCATGAATACAACATTGCAAGTCTGCAAACACACTCACAAACCCAAAATAGCCATGCCTCCTCTCTGACTTCCTCAAAGTATTCTTTACTTTCGGCATCGCACTCAGCTAACTAACACTTGTGTGTAGTGTAAAGTGTGACGGCGAAGCGGAGTGATCCACCATCGATAAAATACACACTCTTTGCACAAACTAATATGGAAAATCGACGAAGTGGTGTGGAATAATAAGACAAGGTAGTTAGCACCGTACTCCAAGAGAAGCGTTCAGTTCCTCAATGACCACAGTCATAGATAAAAAGTTTTTGTTTTCTGACTGTTCGTCGCTATCCTTTTACTTTTCGTTCATATTCAATGATTCCCTACCATCCTTTCCATATCCATCTATCTACTATCTATTATCCTGATCTCTCTCCCTCTTTATCAGTCTATCTAACTATTTACCCGTCTCTCTATCTGTTTGTGGTCTATCTATTTATCTACCTATCTATCTGTGTGCATGTCAATCTATGTCTGTCTGTGTCTGTTTGTCAGTGTGTCTGTCTGACAAATATAAACAGACCCAAACCTTTCCTCTCCCAAAAATAAACACTAAAGAAATACATTGCTACCTCCCCCTACTTGTGCAATCGCCCGGTCAGTGAACACAACAACAACAAAAACATTATTTGTCCAAAGTAAACATGAACAAAATCACTTAAACAAAGTAGCCACAAACAAAGATCTCACCAGCAGCAGGTGCCTCGTCTTCGTCTGGTGCAGCCTTGTCACCTCCTCTTCTTGCTCGAGCAGTTCCTTCCTCAGCCGATAATACCGCAGTTTCTTGTCGGCGTACCTGGGGGAGGACAGGCTCACTGTATGCGGGAGTACTGGATCCGGTGATATGGGTGGAAGGCGAGGAAAAATTAAGAAAGAGAAGTGAAAGGCAAACTTAGTCTAGTGGGAGGGATGTGCAAAAAACAAAGACGAAGGATGGGAAAGACGAGGAAAAACATTAAATAAAACAATAAAAAGGTAAAACGTAACACTAAAGGAGTCCCAGCTCACTACCTCTGAAAAACACAGACAAAAACACCGGTTGTGACGTCATCCAAGATAATACAGAGTTGGGGACGCGTCACACTGTGACGTCACATCAAATCATCATCAGGATTCTCACAGAAAAAAAGGAAAAATGGTGCATCCCTTTCCCTTACTGTTAAATATGTTTATGTGTATACATCAACTCACACAATGTAAACAAAGAAACACTACAATGCTTCCTCTTATAACCGCAACTTGCAGTAAAAAAATATATACAAGTGGTGGGTTGAAGTGAAGAAAATCAAGCTTAAGTAGCAGAACATATCCCTTACATCTCACCTAATAATACTGCACGCCAAAAATTGAGACACCAAACCCTTTTGCTGCTTAAACTGCGCAATCGCCCTGATAACAGATACACTACCATCGTCAATAAATAACACAACATCAGCAATTCCACCAAACCTTTCCCACTTTCACGCTTCGGGTTATTTCCAACTAGTAAGCAATAGTTGGCTACAAGCGTTATATGCCGTGCTACTAGTGGGAAAATAGTCAAACAAAATCGGAAATTAATCGGATATAAAACAATTTTCATGCAAGAAGCTTGTGGCATTTCCACACATCATGCAGTAGATGTGACACGAGATTTTCCTTTCCTTCATACTGAAAAATGAAAAAAGGCGTGCCTTTTGTACGGCTCATAATGCATGGGCCATGGTCCATACACCAACAAATGGAGATAAAACCCTGGAATGCTGATAGATTACTTTATTTTATGTCATAATAACATAATAATAGAAAAAAAAATTCTAGCCATTAAAAAAAATAATTTGAGCTCGGTCTCTTTCTCATTCTCTTTCTTCTCCCCCCCCCCTCTCTGGCTCCAAACAACAAAAAAGAGCATAAACTAAATAAACGGCTACTGGCAATTATAATGATAAATTTAAAGCCCAATGAACTTATTCTGGCTTTAAATAACACACTTCAAATCATAAGCTAAATAATAAAATCAACGAATATTAAATCAATTAGAGAGTGAGCGAGTGAATGTGCTTAAACCAACAAGCCTCGTAGTTGCTGACGTCTCAGGGGTTTGTAGAACACCTCTGATTCTGCTACCATCTACTACCCCTTCATCTACAGTCGATGAGAATACAGACATGTCCTTGCTAGTTGACTTCATACTACGTCTGAAGTAAGAAACTTCGAATGAAGCTATCTTCATCAACATCTAAAACCTTGGCCACGTAGTGAACGCTTGAACCGTGAAATAAAACAATAGACACCCTTCTAGTGTCATCATCTGTAGTGCCATGGTCGATGCGACCCTTGACGACGTGTGTTGGATTGGTGATTCAGCATTCGACTTCTCGCGGTATTCCAAAGTAGTTGCAGGATGACGATCTACGGGACTACGTTTACCGGACAGAGCTATCCCGACTTGGTTCACCGTGAGCACCCTTAACGTCGTTTGTCGATGATTGCTTGTTGTTCACACTATCTATAACACAGTAACATAGCCAGTTTAATGAAGCAGGGTGGTCGGTTCCTTTCTTCATAACAGCAGTTACCAGCTTTGGTCCGTACCAGCCTTGAAGAAAAAATAATTTTTCCAGCCTACCGAAAATCCTTCCCCAAACCGTTGACCGCCACTGCACGATTCCTTCACTCTGAGTAGGTTAAATGACAATGCCGCTGTCCCTCAAAGCTATAACTAGGTGGCCGAAGCCTTCAGCAAGGTCTTGTTTTTAATCCCACAAGGGATGGGATTGCCGGTTTAGACGCCGACGATTCGTCCATGCTACAAGCTGTACCACCTTGCATGGTTAGTGGTAGCAGAATTTCTCCTGACCGTATCCTTCTAGTGTAAGTTCTATCAAAACAAAATCTTTCGGCTGTTTGTCTGCAAAAATATCAGGTTGCTGGACTACTTGCTCAGTGTCCGCATCCACTTACTCAGACGGTTCTGATGAGTCTGTTTGGTTAAGAGGTTGGACATCACCTTCATCAGATAATTCAGAATCGTTGCAAACTTCAGCTTTTCTTACCATGACCTGTGTCTTTGTCTTTGGTTTCTTTCCGTTTCTCTACCTGGTTTCTTGGCTTTTCTTGTTTAATTTCACCTTTAAAGTGGTAATTGCTTCAGTTTCTGTTATAAGGCCACCTTTAGGGGGCAATCACAGTCTGGGGGGGAGGGGGAAGCAATTGGCCTCCCCATGACGCCCCTGCGTGTAATGTACCCTTGTAGTCAAGTAATTTACTGAAGACTTAAAGCATACTCTGAAAACGCATTTACCCTAATAACCATGTGATTTACTGAACACTTCAAACAGACTTAAAAGCATTACTGAACGTTAATTCTACCATTTTTCACAGAAGAAGGAAAAAGAATAAGTGGTACGTGACGAAGATACATCAAGTACACATGACAAACTAAAGGAAATAAAAGTAAATACGAAGAGTATACATGTGTTAGAACAACGAATATAATCTACCCATACATAACAATCAATCTGGTTCAATCATGACATAATAAGAACGGAAAGCAGCAACGGTTTTCGAATAATATCACAACAAACCTAAAAAAAAGAAGAAAAAAAAAAAAAAAAAAAAAGAAGACATTAACAAAAGCTTACATGGAATAACTGCGGAGAAGAAAAGGCAAAGAAACACAGACCAGAAAAAAAAAACACAATCAACTAAATTAACAAAGGAAGAATCCAAAATAACCCGAATCGCACACAAATATACATTCCTTCATAAGTCCTTTGCCACCACAGCTTATGTCAACGTCTGAACGTTAGAGACACGAAGGTCATTTTTTCCTGCAAAATTATTATATAAAGTAATGTAAGTGTGAGCGCGTGTGTGCGTGTGATAGTAGCGAGTGTAAGTGC